TTTATTTATTTATTTTTGGTCTTTTTGAGACAGGGTCTCCCTGTAGCCCTAGCTGGCCTGGATTTGCTATGGAGACCAGGCTGGCCTCGAACTCACAGAGATCCGCCTGCCTCTGCCTCCTGAGTGCTGGGATTAAAGGCGTGCACCAGCACGCCCGGCCTATTTATTTTATTTTTATATGTATGAGTGTACTGCATGTGTTAAGTACACCCATGTTGTGCAGTGCCTGTGGAGGTCACAAGAAGGCATTGGATCTCCTGGAGCTGGAGTTACGAACGTTTGTTAGCTGCCATGTGGGTGCTGGGAATCGAACCCCAGTCCTCTAGTCTTGAATATTAGAACATTTTGAGTGAAATCTGAAAGTTGCACAGTGTAAACTTTTAAGTTCAATAATGGAAGAAGTTAGGAATAATTTTATTCCTAACTCTAATATTGTGTGATAGTGCTGAAATTCAATACGCAAGCTATGACTGTAAACTAATGTCTCTATTTTAGCAACCATACCAGAACCTACACACATACTGAAAGTCATTTTCCTTTAGAGTCTTTCAGTGCCTAAAGGAGAAAGTATATGACCAAGCCAGAGTAAGAGGTTCAAAGAAGTTGAACGGTAATGAAGATGGTGTTCTTGAGTGGCTTTAAAATTAGTTCTACAGTTAGTTTACCATTATACTTTAAAGAATGGCATCAGGAGTGGATTGAGAGTATTTACCAAAGGACAGTTTGAAGATAAATAAATGCTCAATTGGAATTATAAATTGTCTTCCATTGTCAATAAATTACTCATTTAAGAGTGGTGTGTGTGTGTGTGTGTGTGTGTGTGTGTGTATGTGTGTATGTGTTATACACATACACATTGGTATACACCATGGAGACAGATTACTTCAGAAAGTTAATTTGATTGAATGAGGCTTGGTGGTCCATGCCTTTAATTGTCACACTTAGGAGGCAGAGGCAGTCAGACCTCTGTGAGTTCAAGGCTAGACTGGTGTATGTTGGGAGTTCCAGGCCAGCCAGGACTACATACTGAGCATCCACTCTCAAAAAAATAAAAAAATAAAAAAATAAAAAATAAATAAATAAATAAATAAAATTGGTTGGTCATTTTTTGATTTTATGAAAGTTCATGATTCTGGTATTTTAAAAACTATAAAGCATTATAATATTCAGTTAAGTGAAAAAAATCAAGATCTCATGGCTAAAATGGGACTGCTTTATGATGTTCTACAAAATTGGTGTCCGACAATATGAAAGAACAGAAGTACAAAAACACCCAGCCATCTTTAGATTACAAGTAAGGTCTAACCCATGAGCTAAGGCATTCATAACTTTTAAAAGTTTATTATAAATATAGACCATAAAGTATATATTGTAGAATCACTGTACTGCTGTAATAACATATTACCTACCACACAAAACATAGAATCATGAAATTCCTAACTTGCTTAATTTAAACTCTGGGCCTATTTGAGACCAGAATGTGGGAGAGGGTAGAAAGATAGATAGCAAAGAACTAGAAAGGAGGGGAAAAGGTAGGAGATAAGATTTTTGAAGTGGTTTAATTGCTTTTGGGGAAGGATTTATAATTGCTCTCCCAAACTCCAGAAAACAATTTAGAATTTGAAGAGATAATTCACATGCAACTCCAACTGAGATAGGAGAACCAAGAAAAGCAGAAAAAACATAATTAGCTGAGTAGGATTTTCCCCAAGAGTTAAGGTCTAATACCTTTAGTATTATATAGAGGGCTATAAGCTCATTAGTGATTAGTAGGAATCCCGATGATCAGGAGAACTCAAGGCCAGTGGACAAAGATGAAGGGGCCTTTCTGCATAAATATAGTGTTTCAAATGCTGATGCTCTCACATATAGGTCAACCAGCCAACAAGAAATGAGGCCACAGTTCCAAAACAACAAATAAGTTTCTCGTCTCCATAGTCAGATTGTATCTGAAGGTGAACCAAGTTTGAATTGAAACAAAAACAATGTCCTGATTTCAGTCCAGAAACTTATTCATTTCTGCTATGGTAAGCTTGGTTATGGAAATGGACTTCCTGGGTCCAGGAAACAAGGTTGTATAGCTAATAAGCCAGTGAACAAGGTAAACAAACCTAAGTCTAGATATTTTTTTTTCTTATAGAAAGCCATGTACTATTTGTCCATTAGGTGGACAAAACAACTTCTGTTAGGAGTACAGGGGATGATTAGGCACCCCCCCCCAATATGGCAGTTATGTCAAAAACAATTGACAGTGATTTTAGCCTTTCTTTTCAGATACCTTGACCATTCTGACGGCCTGTTTTCTAGATTTAAGAGCCATTGAAATTTTTAATATTTTATTATTTTAATTTAATTTAATTTTATGTGTATGTGTGTGTTGCCTGCATGTATTTAAGTGCACCCATGTCCTGCAATGCCCACAAGG